TTTGATGTGTATCTACAGCCCTTGATAGATGACCTAAAGGACTTATGGAATGAAGGTATTGAAGTTTTTGACTCGTTTAAGAAGGAAAGTTTCACTCTAAAAGCTATGTTGATGTGGACCATCACTGACTATCCAGCTTTAGGTACATTAGCTGGATGTAAAGTAAAGGGAAAGCAAGCTTGTAATGTATGTGGGAAGGATACACCTCATAGGTGGTTAAAGTTTAGTCGCAAGCATGTATATATGGGCAATAGGAAAAGATTGAGATATGATCATCCTTACAGACGCAGAAAAGGCTGGTTTGACAATACAATTGAGGTTGGTACTGCAAAGAGAATTCAGAGTGGAGCAGAAATCTCTGAGAGTCTTAAAGACTTTATCAATGTATTTGGTAAACCTTTAGGCAAGAAAAAGAAAAGAAAAAGGAATGACAACCAAGAAGATGATGCTAGTTCAGAGTATGAAGAAGATGATGATCAATGGAGATGGAAAAAAAGATCAATCTTGTGGGAATTACCTTACTGGAAGGTTAGTACTTATATCATTAACAGTTTCTTAATTGTTTTATTTTACAATTAATTTTGTTATTATGTTTCTGATAGCTACTTTTATTTCATGTGGTAGGATATGCCTGTGAGACATAATATAGACGTCATGCACGTCGAAAAGAATGTCTCTGATGCATTACTATCACTTCTGATGCATAGTGTGAAATCCAAGGATGGCTTGAAAGCAAGAAAAGACTTAGAAGACATTGGGATTAGAAGCAACTTACATGCACAAATACGTGGGAAGAGAACTTACTTACCTCCAGCTGCATATTGGTTATCAAAGGAAGAAAAACGTATATTCTGCAGAAGGTTAGCTAAATTCAGAGGCCCTGATGGTTACTGTGCCAATGTCTCCAATTGTGTGTCTGTAGATCCTCCCAATATTGGTAGTATGAAGTCACATGACCATCATGTGCTCTTACAGAATCTGTTAACAGTGGCATTGAGAGGTTTACTGCCTAAAGGACCTCGTATTGCATTGAACCGTATCTGCAATTTCTTTACTAGGCTGTGCCAACGCGTAATTGATCCAGAGAATTTAGTTGCCTTAGAATCAGAGATTGTTGAAACAATGTGTCAGTTGGAGAGATACTTCCCACCATCCCTTTTTGACATTATGTTTCACTTGCCTTTGCATTTAGCAAGAGAAACACGCTTAGGTGGTCCTGTCCACTTCAGATGGATGTATCCATTTGAGAGGTGAACTTTTTTACTTGAAGTCATATAAAGTTATCTTATTAGCTGATAGAATATGTTTAGATTACTAATAACTCATCTTTGTATTAACATGTAGGTATATGAAAACACTTAAAGCATATGTGAAGAATTTTGCAAGACCAGAAGCTTGTATGGCTGAGGGCTACTTGGCTGGTGAATGCATCTCATTTTGTTTGGAGTTTCTCCAGAAATCTATGCCAGTTCAAGAAAGACTGAATCGCAATGAGGATGTGGAAGCAGATCAACCTGTGCTTGAAGGCAGACCATTGAATAAGGCAACTGAAAAAACTCTCACAGAAAAGGAAAGAGAGATAGCTCATCGGTACATTCTCATGAATACAGCAGTCATGGAGCCATATGTTGAGTAAGTGTTTAATTTTATAATCTGTTCCAGTTTCTTTTTGATGTACATTAGATATATTCTTAATTTTTTAAAACAGGATGCATTTGTAGGAATTGCAAGCTACAAATGCAAAATGTGCAAATAATTCAACTATATTGTGGCAGTATCATACAGAAAGGTTCCCAAAGTGGATCAAAGAAAAGGTTATAAGTATATGAATTGTGTTTGTATTGAAATTTATGTCTCTTTCATGTTTAAGTGTTATTTTCTTCTGTTTTCCTATTTTAGATATCAAGTAACTCGGAGAACCATTCTACTAGGCTGAGATGGCTTGCTTTTGGACCTAGACATAATGCTCAAACATTCAAGGGGTATATAGTGAATGGCCATCGGTTCCACACTGATGATGTGAAGAGGAAGACTCAGAATAGTGGAGTCATGTATGAAGCATTTTCTATGTGTAGAGCCAGTGCTAAAGATACAAGACATGAGGCAGACATAGTATCATTCTATGGAGTAATCAAGGAGATCATATTGATTGACTACCACATGTTCCAGGTTCCTCTGTTTAGGTGTAATTGGGCTAACAAAGGAAATGGAGTCAAAGTGGAAGATGGTTTCACACTTGTGAATCTCCATCAGAATCAGTCATCATACTTAAATGATCCTTTCATACTGCCATCACAAGCTAAACAAATTTTCTACTCTAGAGATGATGATTGCTCACCTTGGTATGTTGTCATGAGGGCTCCTCCACGAGGCTACCATGAGTTAGAGACAGAAGTGGCATCTGTTATTACACCATTATCAGTCCAGACAAATGAAGATTTAGGAGACCAAGATTCTGATGATGAGAATTTCTGTGTTAGGAATGATTGTGAAGGTGTTTTAGTAGATAACTAATTATGCAATTGATTGTGTTTCAGGTAATTGAGTACAATGGAAACTGTACCAAACAGGAAAACCCGTCGCAGTAAGCGCCAAGTAGGCCTTGAAGCGAGTCCAGCAGTGTCACTAACACAGAAAAAGAAACAAAAACCAGGGCCTGCAGTGAATACTGTAGATAAGGATGGAGATAAAACTGCAGAGAATGAGAAAGCAAGAGAATCACTTGACACAGAAAATGATCAAATGCTTGATGAAGAAGCAGAAGAAAACTCACAACATGAAGAAGAAGAAATCAATCCTCCTTCCAACCAAAGCGACTCTAATGCTTCTGAGTCACAAACTCAACAGTCTAGTAACAACAAAAGAAAGACAAGAGGTCCAACTAGAATGCGCAAACTTGGAAAGAGTAGTGATGATAAGGTAGAAGTGGACTTTAATGCTATAGGTAATCATGTTGGACGTGGATCAGTTAGACTATCATCCTTTGTTGGTATCATTGTGAGAGAGCATGTGTCAGTACTGCTAGATGACTGGAGACATCTAGATGTAAGGACAAAAGAGATGATGTGGGAAGAAATCCAGGTAGTTTGTTATGTTGTTTATATTATTTTATCAATCAACTTAAATGTTTTGATGTTGTATGATGGCAATGTTGGACAGGGGAGGTTCAATTTAAACGAAGATTGGCACAAAAGAGTTATCTTAGGTCAGATGTGTAATTTGTGGAGGTCTTCTAAATCTCGTCTTGTTGCCAAAATTCGGAATCTTAAAAGCAAGTCTGAAATACTGGAACTAAAGCCTACCAATATCCCATGTGCATCGGCTTGGATGAGTTGGGTGAAGAGCAAACAAAGCAAGGCTTTTCAGGTAATGTAAAGTGTATATTAATTATATCTATAAGCTCATTTGTTTATTTAATTTTGACATTAGTTTTGTCATATAACTATTTGTGTGAATAGGAAAAAAGTGAGATATTCAGGAAGATGAAGCAAGGTCAAATTCCGCAAACCACCAGCCGCAAAGGCATGGCTCGATTAGAAGATGAAATGGTATGTATGTCTGTGAGTGTATTGAATTGGTTACTTGTATTATTAATGTAACTATGTTGACAATGACTTTAATAAAAATGTAGAAAAAAAAGAGTTCTGAGCCTAGCAAAGTTACTAGAAGTAAGGTGTGGATTGCAGGACATACACATTCTGATGGGAGACCTGTTAGGGAAGAATTTGCAGAAACTATTGTAAGAGTTATATACATTCAGTTTAATGTATGTTTGTCTTTTCAAACTAAAATTTACTAATACAAAGTTTTTTCTGCAAACTATCTTATATCAGGAAAAGATTAAGGCGATAGATAGTGAAATTGGTTCAACATCCACTGATAATGTTAGGGAAGATGCTGTGAGTAAGGTACTTGGAAAAGATAAACCAGGAAGACTTAGGGGGTTGGGTAGAGGCGCTACTATTACTAAGTTGGACTTTTTAAAGGCTAGAGACTCACATGTTAGGCAGCTTGAAGCTAGTTACACTGATTTAAAAAGCAAGTATGAAAATTTGCATATTGTGGTTTCTGAGATTGCTTGTAAAAAGGTAAGTTTTCACACTTGTTGTTCAAAATATATATGAACTTTCATGCTTGTTTTGATTATATATTGTGTCTGTCTTACAAACAGATTGATCATGGTTCCAAATCTGACTTAAGTGATGTTAGCAAAGGAGGAGTTAGGTGCCAGATACTGAATTGGCAGTTAGATGGGGATGTGGTTGTTGGAGAAGGAGAATTCTGCTCCTCTGAACACACATATAAGATTGGTCGAATTCCATTAGGTCCTAATGCAGCTGCTGTGCTTGTGAATTCAGTATCAGACAAAACAGCATCTCTTTGGAGACCACTCAGTCAAACTATTGTTTCTCTTCATCAAGCTATAGGAATGAAAGTTGCATGGCCCTTTGTGAAGATTATATTGGATGATGACGCAACGCAACCTCCTGATACTATGATGTCTGAGGTAAATTACTACTGCTTTTATAGTCCTTTATTTATTTATATAGATTAGATTACTAATACAGGTTGCATGATTCATTAGGAACCTGCTGAAGAAGTAGGACTAGTTGATATCTATGAGTATTGGAGAGAAGATGATGAAGTGATTGCTCAGGGTATATTGATATCAACTGACCCTTCACAATTGGTTAATGGTATGCCTCTGGGACTAAAGGCTACAACTGTTAAGATCACGTTGGTGGTTAAACCTGATGCCTATCTATGGAGACCAACCACTGAAATCCCCTTTATGGCTGATGCTCTCAATGAGACCATTGCATGGCCTTTTGATAGGTTAAAACAACAGGTTCAACCTGAAGACGCAAATAGGAAATCACCAATGGAGGAAGCAACTACAAAATCAGTAGAGAAGGTAAGTTTTTTCTGTATTGGATGTGTTGATGTTGCCATGCCTTTTGATAGGAAAAAAACTAAATATATTTGTCATTTTGGTTTTAGAGTGGTAGTCCTAGCACTGGTAGTAACGGCAAAGGTGGGAAACCGAAGTGTGCTCTTATGGATATTGGAAATTCTGGTCAGAGAGTTGCAATAGGTCGTGTGTATTCCAATGATCCAGCTGATACGGTCCATTGCAGACCGTTAGGTCCCAATGCTAGCAAGGTCTTGGTAGAGATTCCGAAGGTTAATGATGCACGAGTGTGGAGAGCAAGTCCTGAATTTGAAACAATAGCTGATGCAGGAGGAACATTTGTGGCTTGGCCTAATGAGAAGATTATAATGCTGTGAGTGAGAGACATCTTTGAAACTTGTTATCTTACTACTTTAAACTTGTTATCTTAGTACTTTAGACTTGTTATCTTAGTACTGTTTAATATGCATGTAAAACTTATGTATTTGGTTTATATTATTAATGAATTATTTCCTCTCATTTATATTCTTTTTATATATATAATTAATGTTTATTACAGAATATATGAAACAATTGCATTTATTTATATGCTATAGTATTATTAGAGATAACAATTATAAAACGCTGTTAATAATATCATTAATAACAGTTCTAAAACGCTATTATAAAATATTTAATAGCTGTGTAAAAACGTTATCTAAACTGAGCGGAAACGCTATTAAAAATAATATTTTAATAGCATCCGAAAAACGCTATCTAAAACGAGGGACTTTTAATCACGGGCGCAGACACCGCGTTTATCAAAACGCTATGGTATCTTTATATAGCGTTTTTCGGATGCTATTAAAAGTCAATATTCTTGTAGTGAAGGTTTGCAGATGGTTCTTCTCATTGTTGTTGTTTGCTGTGGATGATAGCTGTCTCGATCCAGTTCGGTTGAGTTTGGTTTTTCGAGAGGTTAGGCTTCGCTCCTTGTCTCTGCATTGCAGGCTCGGTTTGACCTGATCGCGTTTTGAAGGCTTCTATCTAGACGATAAGAGACGATGTGTCATCGTCGTCGCATATCATAGGCTAAAACCAATCCTTTATATTATAAAGCACAAGTCACCTGACACTAAAAATTTTCTACCTAAATTTTGTCTCACAATTTAAAAAATAAATAAAATCAAATATCAAAAAATGCATTACAAAAAAAAAACACCACGTTGACCCATATTTCCAAATTTTACTTAACAATTATTACTTTAAAGAATATAATTTCAAGGTAGTTTTATTTATTTCTCCAAGAAAAGTTTATTTATTAAACAAGAGTTTAAAAAATAAAAATAAAAAACGCCCTATTCTTCCCACATTTTTAGTTTCTATAATGAGATAATTGGGTGTAAAATAGAACTTTCAATCCAAATTAATTTTTTTACAAATCATTTTCAAGCCCAAACAACATAAATATTTTGCCCATGATTCTTCCAAAAATAACCTCACTCGCTTATCTCTTCAATTCCATAAGTCATATATCTCTCTCTCTCAACTCTACAAATCTCATTTCTCTCTCTCTCTTCTTCCATTTTTTAACGTTGATAACTTATTTGTTGTTGATTCTTCTTCTTCATTTGTTTTTCTCGTCAAAAGCATATTTATATAAGATCCAGTAATAATCTGCGATGGATCAAACAATGGCAACGTGCTTGCGGTGGTGTTGTGGCGAAACTTTGTTGACAATCGGTGGTGATTCAACGACAGAGCTGGAGTGGTGGTTCAACGACGGATCTGAAGTGATGGTTCAACGACGGATCTGAAGTGATGGTTCAACAGCGGTAACCCGCTTATTATAGTGGGTTTTATATATCGGTATTTGGTTAAGTTGTTGTAACAAAGATATGTATTCTATATATTGGATGTCTATATCACTAATTTGGTTGTAATATATGTTTGTATCGTGTATACAATTGTGTTTGTATGTGTAAAAATGTTAATAACGCTCTATATATATTTACAGGTATACATATGTTAATAACTTTCTAGATGTAACAAATATGTTGGGTTAATAACTCTTTATATATATTTTTTACATGTATACATATGTTATATGTATTTACATCAATACAAATGTTAATAACACCCTATGTATCATGTAATATATATATGTAATGATATGTTTACATCTATTAAAATGTTAATAACGTTATATTTACGTGTTTATATGTAGATAATTGTTAATAACGCTTTATGTATATGTATTTACATGTACACATAAACCAAATTATAAATATTATAATTACTTCAACGCTTTATATATGTGTTTACTTGTATGCAAAATTGCAAATGTTTAAATTGTGTTTAAAAAGTCTCCAATTTAACTTTTGATTTCCCGTGTAATCTAATTGTTTACTTAGCACACCAAAAAGTTATAGTTTATAAAACATAGATATTCTTATATTTATTTGAACTGTTAAATACACATTTGTGCTTTACCAATCTAACTATTTATGTGTGTTATATGGTAGTTCGATGTGTTTTCTGTTTTACCTCTAGTAATTTTATCTGGCAACATTAAATGTTTACGCCTAAGAAGTCAATCACATTTAATATACTCCTCCTTAAGTCAATAAATCAATCCACACGCATCCGATTGGTTTTTCTGTAATCATACATATAAAAGTAGGGTTTCACTTTCCCATGATTGGTCCACTTGGCAATTATTTTTAAAACTAAAATTAAAAATAATAATATTTATCTCCAATTAAAGTATAAATACAACATATTTAATCATACACATTAATCTACTTTTAAGTACTAAATTGTAACTTAAATTACAATTATAACTGAAATTATATAAATTCTATATTAAATATTTGTTTCCACTCAATTTCATTCAACAACACTATTAATTTTAATTGTAACCCCCTAATTTAATTATTTTCTAAATATAACTTCCATCATCTCATCCTATAAATAATCATTCTCTCATCCTCATCTCTCTATCTCAAATCATAAATATTTTTCTACTTTCTTTCTTTCAATCTTATGTTGTTGCATTGGTTGAAAAATCAATTGAGACATCATTATAAGAGTTTGCTTCTAAATTTTATGTTTAGATATGGTATGTATTTTACATTTTTTCCAATTTTATTTTAATTCTAATGTGTTACTAGAATATTCTTTAATTTTCATATTTTTAATTCAAAATTATTATGTATAATAATTTTTCTGATGGTTATAACAAAAAATTCATATTTATAGATGGAGATTCAAAAAGAGCAATTCAATCAATAGCACAACAAGGAGATCAAGTTGAAAAATCCATCTCCAATATATACGTTAGACATTTAGTTATTTTTTTCATATTCATGTATCTTTAAATTGAAATAATTATTGTAATACATTTATCAAATAAATTGTACCTACTTTTTGTTTTTTTATCTCAATAATTGTTTTCTAATATTTTTAATATACTCATCACCATTATGTTTAGTTTCTTAATCTAATAGACTATTATATAAAATATTAATATTATATTTAATATATTCAATTTTTGTACTTTTTTGTTTTTTATCTCAATAATTGTTTTGTAATATTTTTAATATACTCATCATCATTATGTTTAGTTTGTTAATCTAATAGACAATTATATAAAATATTATTATTATATTTATTTTATTCAATTTTTGTGTGTTTTAATTTCTTTATTTCTTAAATTATTTTTTTCTTATCTCAAATAAATTTTGGCAGCATTTTAATATATTCATCATTACATTTAGTTTCTATGATCCAATAGATATATAATGATCACTATAATTTTTATTTTATTCAAGATTTGTGGTTTTTTCTTCTTCTACAACTACTTCTTTCTTATCTCAAATATATTTTTGTAATATTTTTAATATACTCATCATTACATTTAGTTTTTATCCAATAGATCATTATATAATTTGGCACGGAAAGTTTTTACCCAACCGCATATTATTACCTATGTAAAAATATTCCTCAGCATTGGCTTATATAAAACCAAGGTTAATAACTCATACTAAATAAATATAAGACATCACCCAATACTGTGGATGTCGGATTCACACACTCAAATATTTTATTAAGTAGGAAAGATTATTCTTGAGGGACAAAAATGAATACGTCAAAACTTATAAATTGATGCGTAAATTGCTATAGTATTTCTTTCTTGAGAGGAAGATCCCCTTTACATGGCCATTGGCCTCTATATTTATACATAGAGAAACGACATTAAAATGAGTAATTAAGTGCAATTATTCCTTCCTAAATGTGTCCGTTTTGATTCTTCGACTTCAATGCTCAACGTTTGAATTTGAGTTGACTCTGATCTTCATGGGCCTCGCCTTTTTGGCCCAAGTGTCCTTGAACCGACTTACCCGTGTCTTCTACACCGAACTCGTGTCACAGTGCATTCACTTCGGATTCTCGAAGTGGTGACGACCACTTCGACCGCTCCTTTGGCTCATGGGTCCATTGGGCTTCGTCCTTTATGGGCCATTATTTTGACTACGTGGCAATCTTTGGTTGGTCGCGGACTTCTGGTGCGGGATCCGACACCAACAATTAGCCCCCCAAGTTCTTCGAAGTGCTATTCCAATTCGGAGGACTTTAAATGCTCAAGTGGCCAAAGATTGCGCTCGAGAATCTTTCTGATTTCCCGCCGAAAATCTCATCATTCCTTTAATTTCGGCGCTAGCCATTTTTAACCAAATGACATCTGTCATCATTATGACCGTATATTGATTAATTACTATTAAAACGGGAAAAACCTTCCCACTTCCCACACGACTTCCGAGGCGGTTTCATCATTAGCTTGAGGTAACTTCTTTTCACCATTACTCTCTTCTTTTACTTTTGTACTTTAATCAGAAACTCTCTCTTCTTTTCTTCACAAAAAACCTCTCTTCGCCGGATCTTTTAATTTTTCCCAATGACTTCTGATTCCGATAGACCCGAGTCTCCGTCTTTCGATGAGAGGCGTTCTAGCAACGACGAGTGCACCCGCTATGATGATATTGCCGGTCCGCACTATAGATCCACTTGTACTCTTCAATCCCTTGAGCGGTTGAGAGAGCTTTGCCGGATTCCGCCGGAAATTATGGCGGAAGCACAAATAGCTTCCCCCACAGAATCCCCAGAGAACCATCGCGATGGTTACTTCTGTGTGTACGAAATTTATTTCAAGGGTTGCGAGCTGACCTTTCCTCTTCCCGAGGCCCTAGTTCTATATCTAGCGGCTCTTGAAATCGCTCTTCCTCAATTAACCCCCAATCTTCTCCGTACTATTCTTGGAATTATAACAATCGCGGCGGAGGCCGGTTATGTTATCGGAGTTACTGAACTAAATGAGCTTCTAAGCGTGAGAAGTTCATCGAAGAAAACGGGGTATTTCTCAGCATATCCTAATGCCAACAGGAACATCATTTCACATCTTCCAAACAAGGATGAAAATTGGCATCATCCTTGGTTTCTGATTAAGAAAACTCCCGCTTCGATTGGAAATCTTGCAG